TTGGGCGGTTGCGGTAGCAGCTGCTCTTCAGTTGGCAGCAGCTCCACTGGTGGGTGCTGTTCACAGCTGTGGTGGCTCTTCTGGCTGGTGGGGGGCGGTTTCACGTGCAGCTGCTGTTTCTTAGCAGAGTGTATGATGCTCAGGAAGTTGCTGTTGCTTGGATCTGCTTTCCAGGGGAGTTCTGCTCTTCCCGGCTGCAAACCGTCTCACCAGCTGAGCCCTTTCGCCAACTCGGGTTGGGTGCTATTAGTTTCAGCTGCTCACTCCATTTGCTCCGGGACACGACCTGGGACGCGTCTGCCTATATCGCCGCCATCTTCTTCCCCCCCCACACATTTTTTTTTAAAGATTTTTAAATTGATTCTTAGAGAGAGAGGAAGGGAGGAGAGACAGAAACATCGATGTGAGAGCAAGACATCCATTGGCCACCTCCTGCATGTCCCCTACTGGGGATCGAGTCCACAACCCAAGCACGTGCCCTAAGAATCTGCCTGGCAACCATTCGGTGCACAGGACGATGCCCAACCAACTGAGCCACACCGGCCAGGGCAGCCACACCGTTTGGGACTCATTTTTCTGAGCCCCACCCTGATCATGCCTGTGCCTCTGGCTGAGAACCTCCAAGGTATAAGGGACCCAGAAAGAACCACTCAGCCCTCATCACAACAGACAGTGTCCCACTTGGGGATGACTGAAAGCTTGAAGCAAATGCGTGTAAATCATCCAGTTCTGAGGGAAAGCGCACCCCCAGCCAGGCTCGGGAACGCTCTACCTCATGATTAAGAACTGAAGTGATTACAAATTATGGAACACATTTGAAGAGCTTAAAAAATGTAATTTCAGAGAAAACATTGTCATGTAACAATGGAGAGCATTTTGCTAAGCCAGGTTTTTAAAAATGGTTGAATTTCAAAGGAAACTGGATTCATGTCAACCTAATGCATGTATGTTTAATTTGTTAATGATTCCAAAAGCTCTGTTAAGGCTTAATATCCACATATACTCCTGACTTTTTGGTGGATTCCTTTGATTTAGGAAGGTACTGCTGTCAAGTGCCTTGGACTGTGTATATGTGTATTGCATATATTATATAGAGTTGTTATGGATTCAAGTATGTATACACAGAAAAAGTGTTTGACACTGGTTTCCTTGTGGAGAGGAAACAGGATGGTGGAATGGAGGAGTGATAAAAATGTTACCTTTCTGGGCTAAGTGTCCCCCCCCCACCCCCCGCATGTTGTACATTTAAAAAAAGTTTTTAAGTGGTATTATAGGCTATTTTTGTTTCTCTCTTTAAATATTCTATACTAAAAAACCAATAATAAGAAATGTTGCTAAAAAGAACTCATTCATAAATAAACCCCAACTTTACTTTAAAAAATTGGCCAAATCTGAAATTAGCCAGCATGCATATTCTAATTTCTCTCCCATCATTGTTAGAAATCAGTCTTTTTCCAAAATTAAAGTGATTACTACCTTGAGTTTGGGCTCAGTATTCATACCTTTGTCCTAAGGGAGTAAGGAAAGCATTAAGAGTTGTGTTTATAGAACAATTTTCAAACTTTGTCATCTCATGGCATACATAAACTAATTATTAAAATGCTGCGGCACACCAAAAATACAGTATGTTTTTTGCCAATCTGACAAAAAAATAGATATAATTTTGATTCATTCACACTAGATTGCTATTGTTGTGTTGGCTGTTGTCATTTTTTAATTTGACAATCTAAGAGAAAAGAGGCCAGTGCCCCTGACTGAAGAGTTAGGTATTGCATGTTTTAAAAATTCTTGTGGCACAGTGGTTGAAAATTACTGGTGTAGGGGAAAGTCTTCCCTGTTTGGATTTATGTTAAAAAAACACACACAGTACAGAATGACTACTTTTTAATACATACCTCTAGTCCACCATCCTGGTAATTCTCCATTAATCTCTGCATAAATTTTTCAACTATTTGTGGTCTGATAACTGAAAAGTTTTCTTTCATGACTTGGCATTTCCAAAGGTCTAGGGGAAGAGACATACCACTGCTAGTATCATGATACAATGAACAACCATTAATGACTATGAAATGGTAGCTCTCTGAGACAGCACTGGACACAGCTAGCTGTCATTTCCAAATACATTAGTGGGGAAGTGGGGGCGGGAAGGAGGTGATTGAGGACACAGAATCTTTCAGAACATGGAAATAAGGAAGATATCTAATGAGACCCTAATGAAAAGACTTGGAAAAGCACCTCTGAAGACAGTGAACAGTATTGCTACTGTAACTAAAAATCCTGAGTCAAAAGTTATTGGTCCTGCATGATGTCATTAAGTGCCTATATGTATCTGAACAATTGTTTGGCCTAACACAATCATCAGAAATAAACGAAAAGTTATTATATGTATGTATTTCAGTACATTCCTGGTGTTACAGGCAAAATTAATTTAAATATAGATTTAATTTTAAAAAATGGGAGGAAATCCAAAAGAAAGAAAAGAGAGTCATAGGTTAGAAATGTCGAGAGTGGACAGACTATAAACTTCAGTTCCTAGACTGAAGCCACAATAGGGCTGACACTTAGGAGATGAGGCATATACACAGTTACTCACAATAGCATTGTTTAGGACACAAAAGCTTGGAAACAAAACCTGAACTGTAGAATATCCTTCAAGTGGAATAGTATGAAGCTGTAAGAAAGAAAGGACCTTCTCCATGTACTGATATGAAAAACAGCATCGGTTGTTAAGTGAAATATTCAGCTTGCAGGACAGTGGATATAAAATGCTATCTTCTATGAGAAAGATATGATAAAGATAATAAAGTGGAAGAATATCTCCTCAAGCCTGTTCAACGTCATTGCTCCAAAAATTTGCCATTCTCCAATAGCATCACTTCTCCCCTCTTTCCTGGACCGCTCAAAATAGCACACATAATTTTCCCCACCTCATAAAAATCCTTCTCTAGATCCTACTTCTCCTGTCAGCCATTATCTCATCTCTTTGCTCCCTTTTTAGCAAAACTCTCAGAAAGAGATGTCAACCCTTACTGTGTGTGACTTATCTCAAAATCCTTCTTAAAGTCACTCACCCAGCTTACACCTGCACCACTCCAATGAAACTGCTTTTGTCATAAGCGCCAACGTGATCATACCATGGCTAAAGCCAATGGGTTTACTTGACTACCAGCAACATTTCACACAATTTTTCACTTCCTTGTGCTTGAGAAACTTCCATCACTGGACGTTGGGACACCACTCTGTCCTACTTTTTCTCTGACTCACTGTTTGTTCCTTCTAGATCCCTTCCATTGATTCTCCTTTTCCCCTCCCCACCCCCAGCCCTTGACGTTAGAGTGTCTTACGACTCATCCCTGAGTCAACCTCTTTTTCTATCTACACTCACTCCCTTGGATATCCCATCTAGTCTCATGGCTAAATAACATCCATATGCTGACAACCCTCAAATTTAGATCTCATACCCACTCGGCATCTCTCCTTGGACGTCTAAAAGGCATTTCACACTTCTCTTATGATTAATTAAATTCCTGATCTTTCCTCCCCAACTTGCCATCTCAGTTGATGGCAATTCTATTTTCCCAATAGCTCAGGTAAAAAATCTTGGAGTTATCATGGATTCTTCTCTTTCCCCCATACTCAATATTCAACGCATTAATGACTACTTCAAAAACATACCCAGAATCTGACCACGTATTACTTCCACTGCTCCAATCTTGCTTGAGCCACCTTGCTTGGATTATTGCAATAGTCTCCCAACCAGCCTCTCCCTTATTCCACCCTTTCTTCCTTCACTGCCCCTTCTTAAAACAGGAGCCAAAGAGATTCTATTAAAATGTAAGTCAGATCATGTCACTCAGAGCCTTGGGCCAGCTCCCTATTACATTCAGAGTAAACACCGAAGTCCTTACAAGGCCCTGCATGATCTGTTCTCCTTTCACTCTTCCTCTCTGACTTCATCTCCTACTATTCCCCCTCAATCTTTCCATTCCACTCACACTTGGGTCTTTGTTGTTCCATAAATGTGATAGGCATGCTCTGCTTAGGGCAGTGGTTCTCAACCTGTGGGTTGCGACCCCTTTGGCGGTCGAACGACCCTTTCACAGGGGTCGCCTAAGACCATCCTGCATATCAGATATTTACATTACGATTCATAACAGTAGCCACATTACAGTTACGAAGTAGCAACGAAAGTAATTTTATGGTTGGGTCACAACATGAGGAACTGTATTTAAAGGGCCAGAAGGTTGAGAACCACTGGCTTAGGGGCTTCATATGGACTGTTGTTCTGTCTGAATGCTCTTCCTCCAGATACCCATCTAGCTAACTGCGTCACTTTCTTCAAACTTTGATCAAAATGCACTTTCTCGGTGAAGTCTATTCTGACCACCCTATTTAAAATTGCCATGTGCCCCTTCAAACCTCCACAGTCCCATCCTCCGTACTCCACTATCTCCTTATTTCTTAAGTTCATTGCTTATTGTATGTCTACCCCCTTCTAGATGATAAACTCCATTAGGGTAAGGATTTTTTGCTCCATAACAGTAAGGATGCACCCCAAAACAGTGCCTAACATATAGAGGCCTAGACATAGTATTGAGAAAGCTAAAAGGCTGTGTAACCCTGATGTTTGGGAGGCTAGCAATCTGAATCTGTGCAGTAACCTAATGTACATTCTTGATAACCTATAATTAAGTCACTGCCCCTTTCCTCCACAATCTGGTCATGCAAGACCTGTTACCTAAATGCTCTCATTTTACAGAGGCCATAAACCATGAACAACACACAACCCAGGGGGTTATCAGCGCTGGCAGCAGGCCAGGCCCTTAAATATGACCTCAAGACCCCCATCCCAACCCAAGGGGCTTTTTGCAAAGCCCACAAAAGGTCCAGAAGTCCCCATCCATATTTGGGGGACAAAGACACCAAAAGGGGATAAAAGAAGGGCTTCCCCCATATTGGTTTGCTCAGACTCTGGAGGCAACTCCTCTGAGACCGCCAGCATAATAAAGCTGTGTAACTCCATTTCTCTAAGTGTCGCTTGGGTTTCTTCAGTCTTCTACAACAGTATGAGCTCAGTAAATAGGTATTGAATGAAGGAATGAATTAGTTTATGCATAAAAAACCCCTGAAAGGATATATTAAAAACTAATTAAAAGTGTGGTTTCATAGGGTGCAGTAGAAGAGGGTCAGTGGTGGCAACATGACTTCTAAATATACATTTTTAATATCATTTTGAATTTTGAACCAGGTTAAACAAATAAAATCAAATTTAAAAATAATGTGACAATGCTAGAACCATGGAAGTACGTCAACATGCGGAAGAGCAAAAGCACATGTGTGTGTTAGTTGTGTGGGTAGGTAGGGCTCATTTCCTTGTGCCATGGCCCTGGGGGTGCTAGAAATAAAGAGAGACCTAAGGAGCCAGAGACAGGAGCCAGAGACAGGACCAAGCCTGACCACACTCCGCTTTTGTGTTGGGGGTGCTGGCCGTCAGCAAGAGCATGCACAGAGCCACTCCCTGCCCCCAGCTGGCTCTTCCAAGTTGCAGATGAGGTTTCTGACTCACACTTTCATTTTTCTGACAGGAGACTCACTGCACATCAGAGGTAGCATCCAGCACAATCTTCCCAGAAATGGGAATATGACACACAGGGGCCTCTGGTATTTGCCCTTACTACGTTAATTATTGGGAGGCGGGGTCCTGTTTTTGCAAATGGGATTCCATTTTCTTTTACATTTGTCTACTTTCCATCATAAACAAATAAATCTGATTTTGCTTCTTCCTTTAGGACAACAAAGGCGGTAGACATATCATCACTGTCCTAGCATAATTGAAGTGGAAAATCCAAAGGTTAATGTGCCTAGAGTTCACACTTCCTAAGATGTCTAAGACTTTTATAAATCTAAGCAGTGACACTTCAGAGCTTATGTATATTTCAGACAAGAAATTGGATACTTTTCCCAGGATACTTTAGGGGCAGGTCTCTGGCTCAGAGAAGCCTAGAGGGCCCACAGCCATCACACACTTCCTGTTTGGGGACCATCACTCCTCTGAGACCGCCAGCATAATAAAGCTGTGTAACTCCATTTCTCTAAGTGTCGCTTGGGTTTCTTCAGTCTTCTACAACAGTATGAGCTCAGTAAATAGGTATTGAATAAAGGAATGAATTAGTTTATGCATAAAAAACCCCTGAAAGGACATATTAAAAACTAATTAAAAGTGTGGTTTCATAGCCAAAACCGGTTTGGCTCAGTGGATAGAGCGTCAGCCTGCGGACTCAAGGGTCCCAGATTCGATTCCGGTCAAGGGCATGTACCTGGGTTGCGGGCACATCCCCAGTGGGAGATGTGCAGGAGGCAGCTAATCGATGTTTCTCTCTCATCGATATTTCTAACTCTCTATCCCTCTCCATTCCTCTCTGTAAAAAATCAATAAAATATATTTAAAAAAAAAAGTGTGGTTTCATAGGGTGCTGTAGAAGAGGGTCAGTGGTGGCAACACGACTTCTAAATATACATTTTTAATATCATTTTGAATTTTGAACCAGGTTAAACAAATAAAATAAAATTTAAAAATAATGTGACAATGCTAGAACCATGGAAGTATGTCAACACTCCTTAACTTGCATGTGGAAAATAGCCGCAGAACTGGTTTGGCTTTAGCTCCGGGCTTAGCTGAAGGGGGATTATTTTCCCTGCATGCTGGGAGATCTTCACTTCCTACTCATGAGTTCAAGCTTAGACATGCATCTGCATCTGTAGGAAGGAGTCAGGGGAAGCCAGGGAGAGCAGAATTCATCCAGGAGAAGTAATCCCTGGCCAAGTGGAGTTGGCAGTCTCTACATGTGTCTCATTTTCAGTATGTGTGTGGTCATGGCTTCTTTAAGATGAAGCAGTTTTTGACGGAAGCATGGTGGAGGCGGGAGTCAGGACACTGGGGGCTAAGTGGGGGTTTGTTCTTTCCTCTCACTCTGTCCCCATGTGCTTTGACTGGAGGAAACTGAC